TTTCTCCATGTTTGCCCTAATTTCTCGACGATTACGGTGGAAATACGCGGGTGTACGTACACATAGATACAGCCGTCGATCTTCTTTCCCTTAGAATCGAAACGTTTTCTGACGTAAGAACGTTATAACGATCCGACACGGGTCAGCAATCCTCAATTCCGTCGGTTTTATTCACCAAATACGTGTACGTAAATTGATAAATCTTCGGTAATACGCGTTTTACCGACTCCGTCCGTTTGGAATGCCTATCGCACACTCCCTTACCCCCGAGGTAAATTCCCTTGGCTGTCTAAAGGCACTTTTCCCTGGCATTCGCAAGATACACTGCTTTTATCGGCACGGCAAGCAGTCTGGGAATGCCACTGTTTGCCAACGCTGACACGAAAACGTTGAAAAAAAGGAGAAGGGCAAGAGTAAGGGGGACCATGGGACAAATTCGACGCGTGTGACATTCGCATATCTCGCCACCATATACATACACGTACACAACCAGTTCAGTTGTTATCCATTAACGGTGGCAAATACGTCCGAATAATTTAGTTTCCATATCGTTCTAAGTGCTGCATTTTAATGGAACCAGTTCAGAGTAAGTTCGTACAAATGCTTGCCCGTAAAGTGGATGAACTTTCACAGCTCGAAGAGTTCGTAATTACGACCCAATTGTAAAGCGAAATTTAACGTCGAATCTTTGAGAGAAACAGAAGAATCGTTACGGGCATAACGCTTTTATTACTACCCCTTAACTCGAATTTTAATGCCGGCTGGTAAATAATATTTCTCTTGCACCGGCGTTAACTTTATTTTATTCCCGTATACGGAAGAAGGAAAGAAAAAGAGAGGAAAAAGGGGTGGTTTTCGTCCCTTCGATAAATGAATAACGCAAACATGCTGACGATAATTAGACAGGCCCCGTCGTTATAATTTCGAAATAAAATGTTTTACTCCCTCGTACGTAATCTTGATGCTAATTAAGCACGCTTAGCTTCATCGTGGATCGTATCGCAACAATACGTTTCACGGTATTACGAGTTTCATCGTTAAAGTAGCTATCGTAATTAATTCCGTGAAACGCATCCGACGTACTTTGTTACGTCTGCATAATAGTCGCCTAGATGAATATTTACGAAATCCTGCTAGGACGGTAGCGAAAGATGAATCGAACGTCGATATCTGTATAGCACTGACTTGCAGATTATCGACTCAAATGGATATTAATTATCTCGACGCGATGACACGCGTGACCCTTTTCTTTTCTTTCTTTTACTTCCAATCTACATCGCGATTCCGTGTCGTCAACAAAATTTTCCGCAACAGATTCTCATAAATATTACACACGTTTGGGTCATTAGGTCACTACGACCTACAATACGTAATAACCCGACGAGAGAGAGAGAGAGAGAGAGAGAGAAAGGGGAGAAGCGAGACAAAAAGCGATGATAACGAATATGGAGCAATTTTCCGCGAAAACTTCGAACGTGCTTCCCACGTTTCGTCCATTCGAACGATTCATACAACATTTCTTTGCATTATTTAAATCTCATTAAACCCGAATGTGTATACATCGGCCGAGGTAAAAGAGGGATTCGCTCACAATGAGCGGAAACATGCGCGAAAGAGAAAAGATACGGCTGATGAAACATAATGCCCGCCTCGCTATACGTATAATGCACTCGACGCGACGGGATTTTCCAAATAAATCTTCAAAACAAATAAAACTCCCACTGCCGGGGCAATGTTCATAATTCCATGGGAGCGCAGCCGTATCGATTGAACGCAGCCCGATGATTCCGTGAAACGAACGCATCGACGGTCCGTTCGCAGGCAGCCAGCACGTAATCTCTAATGCGTAATATCGCTGTTCACGCTGAAACGAGCAAACGCCAATAAAACGAAACAAGGCAGACATCCCCCGGCTCGACATGCGGCAAGGCAAAGTGTGCCGGTCGATAATTTCGTAATTCGACGGGTTGGCGACCGCACACACGACCGTCACAGCTAAAGGAACGAAACGATGGTCGCCGGGTGGAGGAGAGTGAACCGAATGAAAAAAAAATAGGGGGGAAAAAAAGGAGAGGAAGAAAAAAAATTCGCAATTTGATTAATCCCCCCGTTGTATCCCATCGCATGCGAGACGACGGTGTAAAATGTTTGCTCGCGCGCGCCACTGGCCAGTCCGATCACGGATCGAGCCCCGATAAATTGAGAGGACAAAGCTTCGAGTTTATTAGATCCATAATATTTTACAGGAAATTGTTTCTACGTGAAGCCATTTTTCACCGGCGACCGATTTGATGTATTATCGGTACACTGGCTACCCCCACGGTCTACCCCTGTTATCGTTATTGTTTTTCAACGGATTCATTTTTCCCCACGATGGCGCCTGTCGAGAGCTACTTTACGTTTTGTCACCACTCTGCTGTTTCGTCTCTGAGTTTTCTCCCGAATAAAAAGAAACGCGATCTCTAAAAGACCGACTGTAGCCCGTAAAGCGTCATTAATCTCGGGGAAAAGTGAACGGATCGAACGGGGAGGAAGGAAAACAGTAGGGAGAGAGGTAGGAATCACAGGTGCGTTGAGGTAACGACGCCAGGAAAAGGGGCTCGCAAAGTTTTATTGAAGCATCTGTCGTAGCAGACGGCGATAGCCGAAACTGACCCAAAAAGTTAGACGAACGTGGTCTCGAGGGTCCTTCAGAAAGCCATCCAACATCCCGTTGGAATATGCGCGGAAGAGCATGAGAAGTAGAAGAAGAAAGACGTAAAGAGGGAAGAAACAAGATTCGCCTGGCAAATAAGAATAGTTATTACGCTTCTGGAGGTGGATAGAGAAAATTCTAGAGGGGAAGTTGTGAAATAAGAAAAGAACGGGCGGGAGAGAAATGCGTTGCTCTCAGAGAGAATGCAAAGGGCTGATGTGAAAAGAAACTGTCCACAAGCATTTTTCAAGAATGCAGAAGAACGAAAAGCAGCCGACATTGGAAATAATAATACAGAATAAATGTGGTCATTTCTTTTTATGAAAATAACTGTGACACCATTTACCGCTTGCGCCTCCTTAAAAGCATCGCGCCGCCGGAAGTGGAATGGACGAGGATGAAACGAAAGAGAATCCCTGTTCCACGAGGAACGCGTTCACCAAATTAGAAACTTGACGCACCCGTAACGGTCCCACAAGAACTTCCATTTATGATGGAACGGATACTTAATCATCTCTTATTACTTTTGCTGCTACTTGTGAAAGTACATTTCCTCAAAGAAAAAAAAAAAAAAAAAAAGAAAGAAAACATACAAAATCATAGATGAAAACCGCGCACTCTCGTTACAAAGCTCGAACGACGAGGAATAAAAAGGAGCAAGAGCGAAAAGGCAAACTTAATAACAGGGAAAAGATATCTTCTACGAGTAAGAAATTTCACAATTTACAACGAAACCACCTATCGAATAAATTACAAACATTACGCGATTTAACTGCGTTGATATTGAAATTACACAGACTTGTAATAAAAGGTACAGGCGACACGTTCCAGTATACCGTCTCTGCGTTTACCATCCGCCGACGAAATGAACGAGGAACAAGCGCTCTGAGGGAACATTACTCGCCTACAAGAAGGAACCAGAAGAAAAAAACGGAAAGGAAGACAGAGGAAAGATAGAAAGGAAGTTCTTCTTAATAAAAAAGAAAAAAGAAAGAAGAAGGAGAAGAAGCAGAAAAGGAAAAGGAAAACAAGAGAATATCAGCCATCTCACACCCATCGTGACAACGTCCGCGTCCCATTCTGGCTTCAACGTCCTTTGAGCCAAACCACCGCACCGTTCACGCCCTCTTTGCCACCCTCGTCGGTCCACCAGACCGGCTGGATACGACAAGCCAGCCAGAGGGAAGGGGGTTATATTCCGTTGTATCGTTCCTGCCTTTTCACGA